GGTCTGGTTGTACTGTTATGAGTCGTAGTGGCAAAGACTCAAGCGGCAGTGTTGTAGTACTCGAGATCGGTCTTTTTTTGATTGTCTCGTCTCGGACTCGACCACATTTGGTCTCGGTCTTGTCTCGGTCTCGGGCACTGAGGACTCGGCATTTTATTTCAAGACCGCTCAAGACCACAACTGTGGAAATAACGCTAATCCTCAGAATATTATCAGTTTCTTTAAGATCCTTCTTTTTATTGGATGCTTGGATTCAAATCCAGGCAATAACCTGCCTCATTAGTAAATACATGTTTTTTTTTTTGTTTTTTTTTATCGCTGTCCTGCCCACCCCCTTTCACCTGCCCGCGGGCTGCAGCACTTCGATTGAAAGTCACAAGTGATTGTCTGAGAACGGGATAAGATGTCGGCCAAATCATCGGTTATAAAATTCGACTAATTAAATCACAAAGAATATATTTGTAAAGCAACATTGAGAAAAAAGCATACAGCGCAATAAGTTCAGCAGTGCTTCACTATCAGAGACGGTAGGAATAAAAGTTATATATATATATATTTTTTTTACATATTTAAGTCATTATTTTGTGACAGTATGTTATGAGACCGACAAGCTGTGAAAATACTGAGCACTTCTGCCTTTTCTCCATGTTCCCAGAGCTAACTAGAGAAATACACTGCTTGGTCAAAAACAAACCATCTGATCCAGCAACAGGGTCTTAGAAGTTAAAAAAGTCAGTCAGGCTTTTGTGTACGTATTTCAGTGGGGTTTGTATTTCTGCAGATGTCAGTAGTAGCTCAGGGAGGAAGTGAAGGAGATCAATCTATTTTTTTTCAACAAATTATCTGTCTCATAACATATTTTCACAACTTGGTGACAGATATAGATTTATTTAAGAAAAGTTATATAATATAGCTTTAATCTGTATATGAGAGAGATACAAGAGAAATGATTGGAATTTTTTTCAGTTTTACACATTTGCACATTGTTTTGAAATAGCACATTTAAAAACAACATAAATGTATGTACTGTTCATTAACGGCAGAGAAAATACTATTTTGATCGACTTTGATTCATTGTTTGAAATTCTTTGATTACTACTTAGAAGTACTAAATAAAGATGTTTATGTTTATTCCAGTTCTGTGTGTTAAATATCTAGGTGTTTTTATGTGAATGTGGGTCTTTTAGATCAGTTTTAGTGATTTTGATCTTGTTTCACATTTTATTGTCACATACTGGAGCTGGTCTTGGTCTTGTCTTGGTCTCGGGTTAGGTGGTCTTGACCACAACACTGTCAAGCGGTACGCACAGGAGACATAATGAAGAAGTGAGTTTATCAGAAACTCTTGTGAACAAAGGTTAAAGGAATAGTACACCCAAAACATGATTAGCCTTCATTTTCTACTCACCCCCATGCTGAACAACACTCTGGAGTACTTTTTTGATATCTCAAATGCATCTGGAGATCTGGGAGGCTTCTTGCTGTCTGCTGACATTCAAATAATGGAGGTCTATGGCGCCCGAGACAGAAAGGTCCATAAAAGTCCACAAAAAAACGTGTCAATATTCCTCCATACTGCTCGTCCAATGTATTCCAAGTGTCCTGAGTGGGTAGCATCCAGAATTTACTCGAAACGAAGTCATTTAGAATGTTTTTAGCGCATAAACAGTAGTGTATAGGATTTCCTGAAAGCGCATTCACGACGCTACGGAAACCGCGGCAGACCAAACCGGATGAAAGTGCACATTCAGCTCGGCAAAGAACTCATGCTCTTCCTCAACACTGAAGTCCTCAGACATTTTTTCTTACGTTGTTTCTTTCTTTGCACAGGTAAACAGCACATTTCTTCTTCTACGCTTGCATTATCGGCAGAGCAGACGCTGAATGCGCACTTTCATCTGGTTTGGTCTGCCGGCTTCCGTAGCGTCATGAACGTGCAGGTGCGCGCTTTCAGGAAATCCTATACACTACTGTTTATGCTCTAAAAACATTCTAAATGACTTCGTTTCGAGTAAATTCTGGATGCTACCCACTCAGGACACTTGGAATACATTGGACGAGCAGTATGGAGGAATATTGACACGTTTTTTGTGGACTTTTATGGACCTTTCTGCCTCGGGCGCCATAGACCTCCATTATTTGAATGTCAGCAGACAGCAAGAAGCCTCCCAGATCTCCAGATGCATTTGAGATATCAAAAAAGTACTCCAGAGTGTTGTTCAGCACGGGGGTGAGTAGAAAATGAAGGCTAATCATGTTTTGGGTGTACTATTCCTTTAATGATGCTGGTGAAGATTCTTAGTCATCCAGGTCACAGTTATTCCAAAAAGGTAAAGGTTAATGATGACCACTGGACAGAGGTTAATAACATAGGGAGTAATTAAAACAAGTAAGGATGATTAACCTAAAACATATAAAGGTGTGAATCATTACAAAGGGTTTTTTTCTTTAAAAGTTTCTGCATGTTTAAATTTCTGCAATGACAGCCCCGCCCCACAGTCTAGCTCTGATTCTGTCTGTTTCTCCTGGATTGGTCAGAGTCAATGTCTCTTTAAGGGTCAGATTTCTTTATAAAACACGCCTACTGATTCAACATCATTTAAAAACCCTGGATTAGTTCCTTTTTTGTTTGACATCTAGCAGGAGCTCCGAAGCAGTAAGTAAAGTCTCTGTTTTAAAATCTCATTTATGGGTATGTTTGGTGTTTGGTTTTAGTCAGATCTCACCAAGGGGATTAACTGATTGTTTTTGGGATGATCGCGTATCAGATTGGCAATCAGAATATGCTCATCGAGTGGAAAAAAGTATTTTTTGATACAGAGTCGTCAATATTTTTGATGCCCCTGTATCTTCCTGCATATTTTTTTTTTTTTCAAACTATGCAGGAAAAAAAGAGCAGATATTACTGTATTTTTCCATTACTACTATTTGTGGAACCTTTCAGTTTCAGATTGGTTTTCTATCGATTTTGTTTCTTTTTGTCTTTTTTTTCCTGTACACTTGATAAGAAGTGATTTGCTGTGTTTCAAAACGATCTGGTTATGGTCATTGACATTTTCAGTTGTATTTATTCATAACGGTTTAATTCACTATACACGTAATCTCAATTCACTTTGCAGAGACAATTCATATAAATCATCCGGACAGAAAAAGTCTTCCAGGTAAGGAAAGCCCACTGATTGCATCCAGTGACTTTGCAAGACATTGCAAGATTCAATTCTCTTAGATGAAAATGCAGAGACAGTAGACATTCTCTTGCATTTCACTTTTAACTTCAAATCACTTTGCATATAAAATTCAAATAAATCATCTGGACAGAAAAAGTTTTCCATCTAAGGAAACTTGCAAAACTCACTCTTGGATGAACATGCAGAGACAGTAGCCATTCACTTGCACTTTGCAATTGATTCTGCAGCAATCTCTCACCCTTAGCATGCATACAGTGACAGCAGAGTTTCTCCTGCCTTCTAGTTTTCTTAATGACTGCGTATAGTATACAGGGTATACGCTGTCTACCAATCAAGATCCCTGACACTGAATGCTGCTCTGAAATGATCAGTAATTTATAACCTTATGCTACGTTCACACCGGACGCAGCAGGAGCAGCAAAATCGCGTCTGCTGCTTCATTTTTGCTGCTTGTACCAGTTAGTTCTGACGCGCAGCTGAAGCAGCTTTGCTGCTCTGGCTGCGCGGTGCAAAAGTGTGTCTGACGCGCGTTGGGCGGAGCTTCACTATCCTTTCTCTGCAGCTATATTTGCTGTGATCAGTGGGAATAAAGTAGTTTTAATATGTTTTTAAGTGAGAAAATCCACCTGAAAACTTCATCAGTGCAGTCAGTTCATCCAGATTATCATCCTGCCTTCCAATATTATTTCTGTCGGAGCCGCTCAGACCCCCACATAGCAGCGGTGCGCTGTCAGTAGGAATCCCATTCAGCAGCAGCCTCTGGCCGGGTCGCCTCCTCGCGGTTCACCGCGGCAGCTGGTAGGTGTTTTTCATCTAAATAATCCAAACTGCAGGCAGCAGGATAATAAAAGCGAACATATTCTGCCGGCAGATTTCTGCATTTTAAGTTAATTTATGCATCAATAAACAGTTTCAGAGGAGTGATCACAGCACACAGCGATGTGTCTGTCTCTCTGCCAGCTCCCAGATCAGCTTCTCTGATTGGTTGATGCAGCGCGTCGAGCAGCAAAAGTTAACAGAGCCATCTCGAGCAGCAGCGCGTTTGCGGCGCGTCAGATGCTTAAACGCGCTCAACACTCTGCTTCAGCTGCTCAGACGCGCTGCGCCTGCTGCTCAAAACGCCTGCTTGACGCGCGTCAACCATTGACCTTGCATGTAAACTCGCTGCTTCTGCAGCGCCTGCTGCATCCGGTGTGAACGTAGCATTATCGGTCACAGCCAAAACATTTTCACCAATTGGGATATTTATTAACTTTTATGGTATCACACACAGCTATATGGCCTTTACTTTGAAGCAATGTTTAGATCTAGAAAATATTAAATTGGAGGGAAGGGCAAATAAAGCATATAATGTGTAGACCAGACGGCTAAGCGGGACCTTTTAATTGAATTACATTGGTAAAACAAATATAAAAACACTGTCTTTGCCGATGTCTGCCATTGTTTTTCTTTCATGTTGAGCCCATTGTTAAAAGATACTTACCTGGCAAACCTGCCAAAAGACAGCATAGCAGTTCCAATGCTAAAATCTGCTGCTATACCATGTTGGGTTTTTTTTTTCGTGGGCAATGGAGTAGTTTGGGTTGTTGACCAACCACGAGGAGATAAACTGGTGGGTCAAAAGATTTGTTTTGGTTTTACAAAGTGCCTTGTGATAACAAACTTCACCAGAGGAAAAGATTAACAATATTGCAATTATGATCCCTAATTAATACCAGTCTACCTGATTATCAGGTGTGAAAATAAACTTACTTTAATTTTTTTGCCAGCTTGTTTCTGTACAGTGGGGGCTGTGAGACTCCTCTCCCTCCCGATCTTGGTCCATCTATGTCTGGCACTGCACTCTTTGAAAAGACACCCAACACAGCCTGTGGTTCAGTAGGGGTCTTCACCTATGACATCCTCCCGGGCTCCAACAGTCAGAACAAAGGCCGAGTGGCTGTCATGTTCTCGAATCCCTACGACTTCAACTTCTACTCCAACTATTATGCCATTGGAGTATTCAGCAAAGACAAGAAGTGTGACAACGATCTCTACAATGAGATGTACAGCGGCAAGGAGATCGACTTTGTCAGAGGGAAAGCCAGTGGGCCCAGTCTGACCTACAAAGCGGGCGATTTGATTATCAGGGCCAGCATGTCTGACAGCTATCAGCCGATCCTGAAGTTGGATATTTGTGACATATGAGACCAGCTGCATCTCCTGGTCCAATACCTCTTTAACAGCTCAACACCTTCCTATTTGGCCAGTAGCTTCTCCTTTAATAGAGCAACCCTCATTAACTTTATCTGCTTCTGCATTAATAGAGCAATCTCTTTACCAGTTTAGATATTGTAAACTAGTTACCCTGCAGCATGTGTTATTTAATCTGCAGTCATTCAAGACTTCTCTGTTGAAAAACCCAACATATGTTCATATCTTTTAATAATTAGTCTACTACAACATGTTCCTAATTGGGAGAGAAAAAAAAAACTAACTTAAATGTTTCTCTGAATCTTTAAAACTCCCAACTGATCCAGTCTTCCTGTGAACTCCCCCAGGTAGTTCTTAATTCTGTACAAAATACTGATAGTAATCAGATAGCATTACAATATGGGGCAGGGATATATCGGTTGCGTTTTGGGCTGATTTAAACATCAGCACCGATGTGGACGGATTAGATTCACAACTGAAAGAGTTAATAAAAACAAGCTGAAAAAACATCTGTTTGTTATGGGATATTAGACGGAATAAACATCATTGCATATGGTAATTCAAGTTCTGCTGTACTGATTAAGTTCATGTTTTTAGATGAATATGTTTCAGAAATACTCTGTGATTCTGACCAATGACTGAGCATCACTGAACACAGATACCATGAAGAGATCTGATGGTCCTGATGCCTCACAGCTGCTGTTACAATCTGAATGTTCTGACCCAATAACATTTGAGCTTTAATATGTTCTCCTGGTGTCTGTTGGTCTCACTGTGTTCCACCTGTTCCACTTTCTCAAGCTCTATAACTGTCTCACACTGGACCCAACCTGTGGTCAGAAAGGTTAGATTCATTTCCATTTAGATTTCATTTCCAATTTATATAAACATATATATATATATATATATATATATATATATATATATATATATATATATATATATATATATATATATATATATATATATATATATATATATATATATATTCCCGGCCAATGCACCATTTATGGAAGCTCATTGGTAGAATTCCCTTATGACAGAAAGAAGGCCACGATTCACACTATCTATCATCCGGAGGGGGGACACATTTAATTACAAAACCGAATTCATACAGCTGTCTTAAACACTTCATACATCCAGCAACGCATCGTCAAAAAGTCTGTTTTCCCCCCAACCTTCAGTCCATCTGAACCAGCCTTTATAGTTTCCACATCGCATTACGTAACTGCACATGCACAGGAATATTGTGTCGACATCTTACTGAAATACACGTGTGCTGATTTGTGTCAAAGTCACTGCGACCTTCAAGAAATGTTTATACAGCTATTCTCTGTTTTTGCCAAACCGCCTCATGCAGCCTTGGAGACCATGGTGTTACTAAGACTCAAAACTGACCTTTAAGTTTTGTTGCTAAGTAAGTATAGGGCCATGTTGTAGGATATATTTTGATTCTGATTTCTGATTCTGATATAAGACAATAAAACTGCTTCTACAATATATATATATATATATATATATACATATATATATATATATATATATATATATATATATATATATATATATATATATATATATATATATATATATATTATATATATATATGTTGATCGACAAACAGCAGAAGAGGGCAGTAGTGATAGATGTGGCAATCCCAAGCAACAGCAACAACAACAAGCTTGAGAAATACCAAGGGCTGAAAGAGGAGCTAGAAAAGATGGGGAAAGTAAGAGCAGCAGTGGCGCCAGTGGTAAATGGAGCACTGGGGGCTGTGACCCCCAAACTGGGAGAGTGGCTACAGCAGGTTCCAGGTAAAACATCAGAGGTCTCTGTCCAGAAGAGCGCAGTCCTAGGAACAGCTAAGATACTGCGCAGAACCCTCAAACTCCCAGGCCTCTGGTAGAGGACCCGAGCTTGAGGATGACACATACCACCCCACGAGGGGTCAGAAAAAAGTTTATATATATATATATATATATATATATATAGCTGTTCTGAACTAAACTTATTTTTGTTTACACTCGTGTATACAAAATGACAAAATAAATCTAAGTCTAATTTCCTATATTGATTTATGAGTACTAATTTTCTATTTTCAATCAGTCTGTTTCACCTGCAAGGCCAAAGGTTGAAGCTTGGTTGTTACTGAGGCTACGTTCTTTTTGTATGATCAAAATTATGATTAGTAACAATTGGATTACGGATATATTAAATTCCTTTTTAGACATGTAGAATGGTTATTTTAGATAGGAGTAATTTTATTTCGGATATATGAAAGTACCGGCCCAATACACATGAATGGGGAAAGTGACGTCATTTGTCTTAGTAAGAACTACATTTCAGATATTTGAAATGTTTATTTTAGAAAAGAGGGATACCATTAAAAATATCTCAAATACAAAGAAATATATGTTAAAACGGCAACTCAAAATAAGAAAAGATTTGTAGATATCTGAAAATTAGTTCTTATTAGTACAATTTTGATTCCAGAGTTCTTAAAAATTGATTTCGACTGGTGGAAATGTAATCAGTGATATCTATAATAAAATTCTGACTAGGAACATTGTTATGGTGACTAGGTAAAATGCATTAATGCTTTCTATAATAGAAATGTGACTAGTCAGCCTGCCTATTTTATGTTAAAATGGAGCCTCTTTATTATTTTAAAAGTATCTAAGACTACATTTTAGAAAGGCATTATTAAAATTTTGATATCTGGAATTCTAATTTAACTAGTAATAAAATAACTAGTTAATATCTGTAATTATATTTCTTTTAGTAGAAATATATTTTAGATGTCAAGAATATGATTTAACGTTATATTCATTTTTGATATAGTAATTTTTAGATAGGAACAATGTTATAGTAGATATCTGGAAGTAAAAGCCCAATACACAGGAATGGGAAATGTGACATCATTTATACTGGTAAGAATTACATTTTAAATATCTGAAATGTATATTTTAGATAGGAAGAATGTTATTTTAGATATCTGAAATGTTCATTTTGACTAGGAAGAAATGCATTAGAGAAATCTGGATTACATATATTCAGTCAAGTTAATAAATGTCAAAACGGCTTGCCATACAACCCGAAAATAACAGGCAATAACTTTCCAGCAGGTGGCGCCACACAACACTAAATTGAGCTGAACAGACCTACATGAATCGCAGGCAGACTTAGTAAGTGATTGAGACTGAGCTGTACCACTTTTGATTCACTGGATTGCTTTACAAGTTGCTGTGACGTCACCAGCCGCCATATTAGTACTCCCTAGTTAGACTGGTCGGAATGTAAACAATATGAGCGCTACCGTGCCGAACAATAATGATGTTCCCATTTTTTGGAGGATTTAAGACTTTTGAAAAAAAAAAAAAAAATCATCACTTAGACAAACACTTGTTGTTTCATAGCGTCAGTAGATTACTGTCATTAATGGTAAAAAAAAAAACAAAAAAAAAAAAAGGCACATTGCATCGTTAGTATGAAGTCTATTAGGTCTATAAATTATGTAATATAACATATTATACAAATCCATCACAACAAAATGAATTTGTTTATGGAGCACAATAATCCTGCACTTATTAAGATATTAAGAATTTTACACATACACACACACTCTGATGATGTGCCAAAAGTGCTAAATTGATGATGTACATGTAATATAAATGTGCTGATAGCATTGTTATGTTAATTACGTTACATTACAGGGATTTTTTTATGTCGCGACTCCATAAGAGTGGGAGCACACAGATTGAGGTAGGTGACTTCAGTTTTTTCAGCCTAACAGCAATCTAGTGAATACAGATCAGTAAGCTGTACTCACTGAGGTACTGATTTTGTATGATCAAATTGTATAGACAGCTTATATTGATTCTTTTTCCATTTATAGTGAATTTATGACTGAAATATTTTTATGTGTTTAAAGTAATGAAGTGTGAAAGTTGAGTTGTGTGTTTTCTGAAATCTGAACCCTAAGAAGCAGTGTAATGAGATGATGAAAACATTTTCTAAACAGCTCATGAGTAAAGAACATTAAGTTCAGCAAGACAAGTTAGAAAATCAAATCTATCCTATCGTTGCCCAGTGTAATGAGCTTAAGTCACTCCTATTAAATATGAGACCAAAAGGGACACAGCAGACACATGTTTATGTTTTAAATTCTTCTGACTCATTATAATTTCAGGCTTTTCCACTATCAGTTATTTAGACCTTATAGGTTATAAAATAATTTTCTTACCTCCACTGAACAAAAAACATCAGAATCCACGAGTCATGGAAATAGGTAAATAGACATTCAGAAAGCCAGAAATTTAAATGTTGTTACTTGATTCTAAACATGTATTATCCCAGATTTGATCAACTGCTGAGGGTTTGTTGTGGGAAAAAGGTGTTAAACCATACAGTCTAGTCAAATAAACAGGGATCGATGAATTTCACTCAGTCAGCAATTTATTTTACTTTGCAAAGTAAAAAGAGAACAAGACATCAACAGCTCTCACAGAATGATGTTTCTCCCCTGTTCTCATCTACACAGAATTTGTCTCACTTACTTAAAATAATGGAATTGCTGTAAAAGTCAGTCAAAATAGATTATAGACACTTTGTTTAAACAGTAACATGTAATGAATAAACCTTGAGAAGGAACATGGCTTGTTTTGGGAATTGTACTTCTTGTCCAGAACATTCCTCTAAATTAGAGCCTTGCAGGTGAAATAGACTGAGTGAAAATATTTTTAAGTTAGTAAATAGAAAATTAGTACTCAAAAATCAATATATGAAATCGGAAATGGATCCGGTGTGAGACAGTTATAGAGCATGAGAAAGTGGAACAGGTAGAAAATAGTAAGACCAACAGACACCAGTAGAACATATTAAAGCTCAACTTTTATTGGGTCAGAATTGTTCAGATTGTAACAGCAGCTGTGAGGCATCAGGACCATCAGATCTCCTCATAGTATCTGTGTTCAGTGATGCTCAGTCATTGGACAGAATCACAGAGTGCCGACAGAGATGATGTTGATATTTCTGAAACATATTCATCTAAAAACATGAACTTAATCAGTACAGCAGAATTTAAATTACCATATGCAATGTTTTATATTCAGTGTAATTTCCTATAACAAACTGAATGTCACGGTCTTGGTTCTGTTAAGTTATCTTTTGAGTATTCAGTTTTACTTTGCCCCAGGTGTTCTAGTTTTGTTGGTTTTATTCCAATT